CCTTGTGTGCGTGGCCTATGGGACTCTTCATGCCGCAGCATTCCTGGAAATCCAGCCTCCCTGTTAGGGCAGGTCTACACTTAAAACACTGCTTCTGCCATCGGGGTAGTTAATCCACCTCCGCGAGAGGCGGTAGTTATGTGGAAGGGAAAAGCTCTCCCGCCAACATAGCACTGTCTACACCGGGGCTTAGGTTGCTATAACTATGTCACTCAGGGCTTAGGTGGATTTTTCACACTCCTGATTGACACAGTTATACCAATATAAGTCTACAGTGTAAACCTGGCCTTAGCAATATAATGTTGGAGCTGGTCCAGAGCTTTCAGAGTCCCCAGATTTCTTACTATTCTGGGTAGGCTGAGCGAGGGCCGTAGTCTGTACAGAGGGGCTTGATCTGTGGCCACCTCAGGCAGGGAGAGGCCCTGGTCATGTGGAAGGAGAGAGCCCAGGCAGTGGATTATAGGAGCAAAAGGGACTCTCCTCTGATCATACAGTAGGCTGGAACAGGACCTGGGCTTATGCAAAAAAGCACTGAAAATCTCAGCCTAAGTGCCTTGCCCAAGGGAGTCAGTGACAGAGTGGGCCCTACCCCACTGACACTGCACTAGCCTTCTGACATGCTCCCCACACACATACCTACAACATCTGGGCCCCTCCCACATGCTCTCGTCCATCTCAGCGATCCACCACTAGGCTTCATGACCTCTCAAGGTCCCTTCCAGTCCTATGATTCTATAATTCATACCTAAAGCTGCACATGTGGTTCATTTGGCACACGGATAGCGAAGATTTAACTTCATTGATGAAATAGCCAGCAACAGCCTGCTGGGCCAATGCACATGCATACTGTGTAATCCTCATACCGAAAGGCTGGTGTGATTCTGCCCCCTGGACTCCCGCTGATCGATCCACTCACCCAAGCCGAGGGGGAATGTTCAGCAACTTGAAAAGAATCTCAGTGTCTGGTCCAGTCTACGCTGGAAAATGGTAAGATGGGCCAGCACTCCTGACCCATCCTACTGTTGTGACAGACAGGAATTGCATTAGCACCCTATGTTATTTATTGCTGTGGTTTCCTCGATAGTGGCAATTCAAGCTCTTTCTTTCCTTTCCCCTTTGAAGGCAGGGTAGAGTTACCAGGGCAAATGCTATACACCACGCCAGGAAAACAGCCAATTAGAACAGAGCCCAGGACAAAGGCAAGAGTGGGACTTGGAGGCTGCTTCAGCATCAGATCAGAATCCAAGGCCAGAGGCTTCTGGGATTCAGCAGCTGGGGGTTTTCACCGCTGCTGTTTTGCTTTTCTGTGATCAGGAGTCAGCCTGAGCTTGCTTTTCTCTCCTGTTAATTGGTTTTTGGGGAGATCTCACTATTGCACCAGCATTCACTAACACGCCCCAGTCATACTCATTTGCACAATGTCAACCGGCATCGCATAAACAGACTAGAGAGGCAGCAGAAGGAGCGGGGCAGCAGTTTTAATGGTGAAATTGCTGGGTCAGCTTTGATGGTGGTCTCAGTGTCTCTACAGGAAATGCCAATTGAATTCCCAGTCCCTATCCCTATCTCGTGTTCCCTTCTGGATCCTGGCCAGGGGTGGGGGATAAGTGCAGGCAGTGGGTTCAGTCCATAGGTGGAGGGAGCGCTTCTCATTGCTTCACAGCACCCTCTTCTGGCTGATTCAGGAGAGCATTCAGGGGTTCCAAAGAAAGTAATGTTTGTGGCTGAAGGATGAGGAACAATAGGAGGGAGCTCAAGGATGGGGGAAATGTGTTCTAGAGAGTGTGTGTGTGTGTGTGTAGAAATGTGTTTTAGAATGGTGTGTATGTGTATCCCAGAGGTGAAAGTAAGCCGGTACGGTGATTTAAAGGACCCAGAGCTCCAGCCACTGCGGGGCGCCCTGGGCCCTTTAAATCTCCGCCGGAGCTCCAGCAGCCAGGCTTGGGCAGGGAATTAAAGGTCCTGGAGCTCCGGCCCCTGCAGGGAGCCCCAGGCCCTTTAAAGCACAGCCCAAGCCCCACTGCCGGAGCTCCGGTGGCACTTTAAAGGGCCCGGGGCTCCCCGCAGAAGCCAGATTGGCCCTTTAAATCGCTGCCCGAGTCCTGCCGCCGCTATCCCAGCCCTAGCCTGAGCCCTGCTGCCCCGGGGTAGCGGCGGCAGGCCTCCTGCGGTGATTTAAAGGGGCCGGAGCTCCGCGGCGGCCGGAGCCCTGGCCCTTTAATTTGCCCCTGAGCCCGGGGCTCCCAGCCACTTCTGCAGCTGGTAGCTCCAGGATGATTTAAAGGCCGTGGGGCTCCCAGCCACAGCCAGAGCCCCTGGGCCTTTTAATCTTGAAAGGCCCCGCCTCTCCTGGTTGAGGCCGCACCCCACTCAGGACTCCGGCGTACGGGTAAGTCCTTTAAGTTACTTTTACCCCTGGTGTATCCTCAGGGCTCTGGAGGGGATGGGGAGGAGTCAATGTTCCCTCCAATGAAGGGGGGGAGTGCAGGGGGGACTTAGTGGGACATGGAGAAAGGGACCAGAAAGTGGCAGGACCCAGGAGAAAACAGCCCACAAGTATCAAAAAATGAGTGCTGGCAAAGGTTGTATTCACCCTGTCACTAAGCGCAGCTTTGAGAAACCTGCTCGCTCAGGGGAAACGCTGACCAAGGCCCACCATCCTGATGAGAGAAGTGTATGACAGGGTGTTAACTGCACTGAAGCAGGCAGTTTACATCCTCTTCCTGGTAATGAGCTTTCACACCACAGGGCTGCAGCAGAACTGTCATTGCCTGTTTGCAGAGAAAGCCGGAGCAAAACATGTTCCAACATATGTGACTGGTGCGGGACAGAGAAGTACCAGGAATGCTGACACAGAACATACTGAACTAATTCATCCCCCAGGCCGTTTCATTGCCTCGCGCTACACAAACAGTTTATATAACACTAGCTGGCTGTGCCAGGTGCTGGGGGCGTACTGCTCAAGTGACGGGGCACTGTGGGGCTGGAAGTCAGCACACTCCCCAGGGACAGATCACACAGGGCACTTTAACACAAGGATGCACAGAGGGAGCAGCAGCAGAGGGAGGCGAGAAATTTTTTAGGAGAGGACACTTGCCTCCTGGGTTGTCAAGAAGCCTTTAATTAGTTAATGTGCTCTGTGGGCCTGATTCTGCTCCCATCTAAGTCAAGAACAAACTCCCATTGACTTCTGTGGTTGCAGGTTTAGGCCCAGCACAGGCAACTTTAAGGAGCACATCTACTCAGCTAACTGAACTTCCACTCTGCCCCATTGCAGCAAGTACCATCTCTGAGTCTGATGGAAAACCTGTGAGGGGCTCTCCTGGCGTGGTCAGGTCCGTCTTTGCAGAGCTGCACAGAAGCCTAGAACTGGAATAACGGGCTAATAACTGGAATAACAGGAGCATTCTGTAGGTTAGGATTCAGATTCAAAAACAGCTGTGTGGGAGGGAACCCAGGACTGGACGGGCAGGGGTGTTTCAGAGACAGGGGAAGAGATGTGTGACCAGAGCCTGCCTGGATCCTGCACTCACCCTGACTGGTGCCAGTCCTGTTGGTGTGTCACTCTCTTGAAAACGAAATCCATGCATAGCTCTTACCTAACACCAGAGTGGGATCTCCCAGCAGCGGGCTCATCTGAACAGGCAGCACTGGGATGAAAGCAGAGAGACAAGCACCAACAGGAGGAAGAGCATTGCAGTAGGAAGCACCCTGAAAAACAGACCTATGGATACTGACTTCTAAGAACAGCTGGAGAGGAAACATTGTTGCTAGGGCACAATATTGCAGCTGGCAAAGAGATGTAGCAATTGTCAGCCACTCACTAGTAAAGAGAGAATAGCTAGATATCAGACATAAGTACATCCCTTCCCTATCCGTCCACCTGCAGCCAGAGAAGACGGCAGAGGACAGCCTATCCAACTGCTCATGCGTTCCCAACATCAGCCACATGGCAATACTGTGGTTTCCCGTCACCTCTGCACTCCACATGCAGCCCCTACAAACTCCCCCAGCCCTTTCCTGTGTGCGGCACACAATGCGTCTATCGATTTCCTGTTAGCTGTTCAACAGTACACAGGAGTTACTATTTCATTGGGGTTGGTGTCATCTGGAGAGCGCAAGGTCCTGGGGCATCATCCAGGAATGGACCTACCTGCTCTGCATCCTCCTCAACCCGCTATCTCAGATCAAGAGCTACAACAGCCTCAGGAGGGAAGGTCCTTAGGGTTCTGGTGTCCCCCCACTCAGGTTAGCGTTGGGTCCCTAAATCCAACCCTCTCCTAGAATAACTGTGATGTTTGTATCTCCAGGCCTTGACCCAACACCGTTACATCATGCTGACGAAATACAGCATCCAAAATTATTTGGGGGACTTAACTGCCTGCTGGGAGAGACCCACAGAAATCAGGACATCCCGTGACTTCCTGAATGAGTGGCAACATCAGTGGAGTTAGCCAGGACCTCCTGCAAACGTAAGTAACGGGAGTTGCCTAATGCTGGCCCTAAATAACCCATCACAACAGTAAGGGGCACAGCCTGTTTCAAACTCCCAGAGGGGGGGCATAAATCAACACATAGCTAGGACACCAAGGCTTGTACACAGATCACATACCCGCTGGCTAGCCTGGAAATAAGAGATACAAAATCTGCTCTCTGACATCCAAGAATTATTTCCCTTTGCTACGCTTGCCAAAGTAAAGAAGAAGGAAAAAAACCAATCACACACTAAAATTGTTGCATATGGGCTCTCCCAGTTCCAATTAATTCCTCATCTCAGCAAATACGATTCTATGACTTCAGTGGAAATTTCCAAATCAGTGGCAGCCACAGCTCCCAAATATCCAGCTCTTAGTTCCTGATAGGGTGAGGGTGGGTAAGGCTCAGGTCTGGATGCACATTCAGTACTTATAGGTTCACATTCCCCACAAAAGGCCTGTATCTCATAACACCTGATTATTATTCATCCTTCACAAGAACCCAGGCCTCCACCTTAATATCTGGGGTAGATTCTGAGCTGGTGAAAGCCAGCAGAACTCCTGTGAAGTCAGTGGAGCGTTGCCAATTCAAGCCAACTGAGGATCTGGCCCCCACTTCTTATTCTGGTTTATTGGGAAAGACAACTAATGCATTGATGTGTATTCCATCCTCGGGATGTCAGGCACCTGCCATGGGACTTGGAAGTGGGGAAGGCAGAAACTGTACTTTAATATCTGATCCTGGCTCTACAGACATGGTAACAGCTTTCGAGTACATAACAGGTTGTTACAAGGAGGAGGGTGAAAAATTGTTCTCCTTAACCTCTGAGGCTAGGACAAGAAGCAATGGGCTTAAATTGCAGCAAGGGAGGTTTAGGTTGGACATTAGGACAAATTTCCCAACTGTCAGGATAGTTAAGCACTGGAATAAATTACCTAGAGATGCTGTGGAATCTCTGTCACTGGAGGTTTTTAAGAACAAACACCTGTCAGAAATGGTTTAGTTCTTACGTAGCCCTTGGGTGCAAGGGTCTGGACTACATAACCTCTCAAGATCCCTTCCAGTGCTACACTTCTATGATACGCTTCCAGGCCAGATCCTTAGTGGGTGTAAGTCCCTCTAGCTTTGGTTAAGTCTGTTGATTTACAGCAGCTGAGGATCTGGCCCTGTGTGTGTTTATATGCTGGGATGTTTACTGTGCTAACAGCAGTTCCTACTGCGGGTGCCAGGCTGGGGACGGGAGAATGACAGCGCAGCAAAGGCGGGGGAGGGGGACAACAGCAGGCAGGAAAGTCTTAAAGATCTGGTCAGATTCAGATCTGGTGAGAGCCAATCCCTGCCTTCCTCTTTCAATCTCTCCTCCCTGCTCCCCCGTTGCTGGCCCTGGCTCTTGCTGAGTCAATTCATACACAGGGAACACAGATCTGGCTGCAGTCCCTGCTTGATTTCAAAAGGAGATTGGGAAGTTTCTGTAAGAACTCAAAAGAATGGCTGACTGAAGCTAGCTGGGGGGGAGGGACATGTGGGCTGCTTCCAACTTCACACAGCCCCCTCCTCCCCCTCGCTGAAGAAAACAAGCAAAGCTGGAGAAAAACATGTTGTTCCCTGCAACTTGATCACCAGGCTCTGCCAGAGCTGTTTGTATTATACATCTTGGGACACAAAGGCCAGGGTACTGGCTGCAAGCTGATTGGATGGTGGAGGGAAAGAGAGGTGGTTTAACTGTTACCGGGCAGACTTGAAACACATTAATGGGGTAGGGGTGAGGAGTTTTGGGGGGTGGCAGGGCTGGAACACGTACAGCACTTGTTTTGTGTGCTGGGATTCCACTTTGCCACTTCCGGAGTTCTGGGACAGAGTGTCAGCTGCTTGGGTCCCATGATCATAATTTAGGACACGGAGATGGCAGGAACTTTGGGGGGGGGGAGTCTTTCTGGGGAACAAGGGGCCTGCTGCCCATTGTGCTGCTGAATGTCGCTATTGTGTAGTTAGGGTGGCGGCGGGAAGCAGAACAATCACACTTTCATATCTACCGCTGACCTCCTTCGAAGCTCTCTGCAGACACGGGCCAGATCCTCAACTGGTGGGAACGAATGTAGCTAATGGGACAGGGTGAAAAGATCACACACACACACTCTCTCTCTCTCTCTCTTTAGGGAAAAATCTCTCTGATTTTCTGCCAACAGAAAAGTCATGCTTTGGACAAAAAACTGAAAACCAAAAGTACTACCACTGATAATTGGGAAAAAGGGAATGGGAAAGAAAGAGAAACACAAACTAAAGAGCCGCTTTCAGCTTTTGTTTTTTGCTTTTGTCAAAAAAATGAAAACTTTTCAGTGAAACAAACTTTCTCCCAGGAAAATGTTCATTTCATTCAAAAAGCCACCTTCTGCCACTCTAGTACCTGTATTGATGTCAGTGGAGCTACACTGATTTACACCAGTTGAGGATCTGTCCTATTAATCCTCACTACACTCCTCCAAGGGAGGCATGTTTATTTGGGTTTATTGCTAATAAATGTCACCAGTCATCAGAGTTAAAGGTTCGGAGCTTCAGCATGCTCCTGGGCTGGCACCTTCTACTGTCACTGGCATAGTTAATGGAGAAGGTGCCTTGCTTTTTCATTCAGGGTTGCTATTTAATGTCCTTTACATTTTCCCTGCCAAGACTAGCCTCTATTGGCATGAATTAACCCTTTCCCCTTCCTTTTCCGCATAATAACACAGGAAAGAGAGAAATTATGGAAAGACTACTTGGGTCCTGTCTCATAAGCGTGCAAAAGTTCAGAGGCTACTTCAGTGTTGCCAATGCCCATGATTTCATTGAGTGTCTTGCAATAGTCGGTGTTTTTCATAAAGCCCCAGCTCCTGGAGTTCTGTGATTTGGGGAGAATCTTAGCTTTTTATATATATATATGTATGTATGTATAAAAGCTAAGTAAAATTTCTAGCCCTCTTGGTTCTAGAGAAAAATTTGAAAACATGACCTGAATGCACCCCAAAGGCTCAGAAACCAAAAGGCAAAGAAAAGAAACTCATTTTTTTAAAAATATCATTTTAAACCCATCTCATGATTTTATCCACTGGGGGTTGACAGTACTGTAGCAGTGCAAAGTTCCCGTGCTTACACATGGCCAAACTACTTGGATTCCAACTAGAGTGACCAGGCAGCAAGTATGAAAAAATCAGGACAGAGTGTGGGGGGGTAATAGGTGCTAGGGTGACCAGATCGCAAGAGTGAAATATCAGGACACATTGGGCGAGCGGGGAGGTTGGGGGGGGAGAGAGGACGACGATGCCAGACACAGGTGCACAGAGCCATGAGAGGGGGCCCTAGGAAGCTGCAAGAGGGGTTGTACGGCCCCTGCTGCAGCCCACACCACAAGCCACAGGGCAAGGACTCATGGCCCCAGCTCCAGCCCCCAGTAGAAGCCACAGGGCCAGGGGCACAGGGCTCCGGCTCCAGCCCCCGGCTGAAGCTGCAGGACAGGGGCGCAGGATTCTGGTTGCAAAGTCAGATCCAGGTGCAGGGCAGGGGAGTGAAGGGTCCCGGTTCTAGCTCTGGTTCCAGCCGCAGCCACAGAGGGGAAGCCCCAGTCCTGCCTTCAGCCCCAGCCCCAGCTTCAGCCACTGACAGCTGAAGCAAACTACATCACAGAGGTCTGGAATCAGTGAGTCTAAATTATAGACTTAGTCGTAATACATATTGAAACATACAGTTACTTCAGTGCACTGCGCTACTACAATCTTGTTTAGAAGAAGATTACATTAATGACAGACAATGAAAGTATGGAGAGTCACAGATTAGGATGAAACATAAAAGAGACGAGGGTGCAGTGGTTAAGGTGCTAGCGTATAGGACTTGGGAGACCCAGCTTCCCTGCTCCATCACAGACCTTGGGTAAGCCACTTAAGGCTCAGATCTATCAGCATTTTCTTGAGCCTGAAGTGCAGTGCATCTGTAGTCATCCACACCTATTTACATCAAAGCTAAACTATTAGTTTTAATTATTCAGATATATTCCTCTCCCATGCTCCCTGTACAGTCACATCTTGGTGCAGTCAGTAACAAAGAAACTGCTCAGTCCCCTATTGTGATACACAGATGTTTTTGGTTTCTCTCTCCTCCTGTTATTTCCTTAGGAAGGATACTTTAATATCATACAGCGTGTGTTTACTCTAACCAGCGAATCTATGACGCTGGACACAATTTGTATGAAATAAACTCGGCTCTTTATTATTATTAGTTAGACATCACCAGCGCGTGCAGTACGCCAGGAAAGACGAACTGACTGAATAACATTATTCCCCAAAATCCACTGGCGGGTTCCTAGCAAGAGTAAAGAATTATTGTCCTACTGGGAGCCCCATTTTCTGTTGCCAGTTCAGATTCTCTGCTGACCTGTGTCAGAACAGAAAAAAATATTTTTATTTGCCTTCTGGTTTTGGAGCCTTTAGGGATTAGATCTTAAAGGGTTTGTTTGTTTGTTTGTTTGTTTCTTGTTTTTCATCCAACAAACATAAAGGCTGGAAACTTACTTTTTTAAAAAAATGCAAACTAAGATTGTCCTGTAGTCCAAGGAGGACCCTCAACAAATCAGAACTTAAGCAAAATACCAAATATCACAAGACTTATGATAAAAC